TAGGGAGCGCGGCCCCCAGCCAGGTCAGTCTGCGTGTCCTGGGCTAGTGGTGGCCTCTGGTCCTGTAAGAACGAGGCCTCTGCCCACTCTGTCCTGCTCCTGTGGGCACGGAGCCACACCCTCTGCATCAGCCTCTCCCGAGGCACAGCCAGCACCCCACCGGGCACTGGCTATGAGGTGCAGGCCGGCGATACGTGCCCTGCTCGCGGCCCCTGTCCCCTTCTCGGTCTCTGGCAGATGCAAAGATCCGGCAAGGGACCCCAGGGTCCGGGGTGGAGCCCGAGAAGGAAGGCTCCTCAGCCATGTGTGGCAGAGAGCACCCAGGGGACACGGCTGTCCGGAGCGCCTCCTTGGGCTCTCGTCAAGGAGGAACTGGAACTGCGGCAGGCACGGCTGAGTCAGCTCGCGGCCCCTGTCCCCTTCTCGGTCTCTGGCAGATGCAAAGATCCGGCAAGGGACCCCAGGGTCCGGGGTGGAGCCCGAGAAGGAAGGCTCCTCAGCCATGTGTGGCAGAGAGCACCCAGGGGACACGGCTGTCCGGAGCGCCTCCTTGGGCTCTCGTCAAGGAGGAACTGGAACTGCGGCAGGCACGGCTGAGTCACCAAGCGCAGCTGCCAGACCGCCAGGCCCAGCCGCAGCAGAAAGGGGCAAGCAGCCCGGCCGCCGAGCAGCGGGCCGTGCTCCAGCTGTTCCAGGGCATGCAGTCAGGCTCTGTAGGGCGATCCCGCCAGCCGTCCACACTCCAACTTCGCCCCCAACCACTTGGCCTAGTGCCTTTCCTGAACCCCAAATCTGAGCTGCTGCTTCTCCTGTGATCCCCCTTGGCCATCATCATCACGCCAGCCCTGGGGACGCAGTTGCAGCTACCGCTGCTGGTCCCATCCAGCCCAGTAATCGGCCGAGGGCAAGGTCCCGGCTCTCCCTTCAGTGCTATCGCCGCACCAGGCCGTCCGGCATGTGCTGTTGCCTTAATGCACACTCCTCATTCATCCTTCCAGTGGTCTCTCCAGCAAAGCCCATAACACACACCTGGATGCCGCTTGCTGCAAACTCTGCAACGGACTTGAGAAACTCGACCCAGTCTGCTATCTGGAGAAGCCAGATGACTGGGACCTTGGCCCTAGCTGCTAGGGCGACTGCAGCAGCCACGTACCCCACAGTGTGACAGGTGCTGGGGCGACTGCGGTGACCACGTACCCCACAGTGTGACAGCTTCCACGGAGAAACAGATCGATGGCTGATACTCACCGCCTTTCTCTGACCTATTGTAGAACGTAATATGCGATACATTATCTTCAGTCCACTTAACTGGAATGTTCCATGTGTAACTAAAATTTTTAAAAAAGAAAAATTTAGCTTGTTACTAAAATATGTAATTTTTAAATGTCAAGAGTAAAAATAGTGAAAAGGCAGTAGACAAGGAAATTCTCCTTCAGAATGACCAGCTGGTGTTTCGACTGTAATCAGGTGCCGAGCATTGTGCAGCGATGAAGGTAGCCCGGCTTCTGTGAGTCTGCAAAGTGTGCAAATACCCACTAAAGCGTTAGCCAAGAATGACAGTGATTATTTTAATAAAGAGCCTTGAAGCTCTGAGGTGAAGACGTCTCTACACGGCGTACATGGAAAACACCACATTGGAGCACCAAGCTCGCACCCACGGGTAGCCTGCAGCTTCTGTCAGGGAACATCCAACGTTTTCCGAACTCAGAAGACAGACCGTGAGCCTGGGAGGAGCGAGCATGTCTCCGAGGTCGCGGGAAATCACAGCGGCACCACCTCCCCAGGGTGCCACCTCCCCACCACCACCCTACAGTCCTGCCACCCCACCACCTCCCTGCGGTGCCACCTCCCCGCCACCTCCCCAGGGAACCACCTCCCCACCACCTCCCTGGGGTACCACTTCCCTGGGGTCCAACTCCACACCACCCTGCCACCTCCCCGGGACACTCCCTTGTCCCCCTGCCCCTCCCCCAGCCTGCTCCAGCACCCACGCCCATGCCCACAGCACCATTCAGAACCTGGAGGGCTGTGAGCTGCACCAAGGCCCTGCTAAGCAAGTGCCCAGGGCTCAGGAGGCCCTTGTTCTCCTTAGCTGCTTAGGATCTCTCCCAGAGGGGTGCGTGAGCTAGCAGCCTCCTCTGTTACTAAATCGCCAGGGCGAGACACCTCCTGGGGCTATAATCCCGGCTGCTGTCTCGCCCTGCTGTTGGGATTTTGGGCACGTGTGCACACGCCTGCTTCCCAAGCCCCCGGCAAGGATCAGAGCAAGGGTTAGCCTCGTGGGATCAGGCTCCCTCGACCTCCTAGGTTCGTACTCAGCTGTAGCATAGACTGGGCTGTTGGAGAGTCACCAGGCACCTTTGCACGGGAGATATGGAGAAATACACCACAGCTTTCCTGACGGCCTAGTTCTTAACACTTCAGTCGCAAAACCCACCGGGACCAGCAGATGGCATCCCGGTTACCTGACTGGACTCCCACATGGCCGACCACGGTTTGAGTCCTAAATCCAGCAGCTTAAAAGTCACCCCGGGCGCATGTGCGTGCGTGCCCAAGATCCTGAGAGGAGAGTGGAGAAGGGGTTGCAGCGTGGCCATCCCCCTGGGGGTGATTTCTCGCTTTGTCTCTCTCTGGTGAGCACAAGCACTCTACAGCAAAAAAAATCTCTCAAAACAAACCAAAAAACTCATCAAAGAGGCTTTCGACAACCTTTTGGTGGTTTGCGGCCATGGGTCCCATCAGAAAGTGCAGGATTTCTAAAGAGTTCTGTGGGCCTCCGGCTGGCTGGGGCCCCTGGAGTTGGTGTGTCGGCTACACGCAGTTCCCTAGCAGAGAATCAGGGTGGACAGTCCCCTTCTTCAAGATATGCGACAACTGACGCTGTGCAGAGGGGACACGCTGCTGCGATCCTTTGCTCCAGCGAAGAGCTATGCAGGTGGGGTGTCCCTCACGGCCCTGGGGTCCCGTCTCACAGCAGGGCACATCCGGCTGCTTCATGAACCCCATTGTACATGCTCTCTTGGCACCGAAGCACGCCACGCTTCTCCCGCGCCCTCTGGGATCCCTCTGTGCCCATAGTAGCCAGATCCCAGCGGGCTCTCCCTGTGGATGACCAGGACATGCCCTCCCCGAAGGACGGCCCAGGCTCCCCGAGCGAGCAAGCCCGAGGGCCCCGGGGCTTCACATTCTTCCGGACACAGCCCTTAGCCACGACTGCCGCGAGCAAGTCTCGTCATCCACACAGCAGGACACCCTGCGGTGTGACCCTCCCTGGCCTGGAACCCCTGCAGGACTGAGCCCAGTCTGCCAGGACCCACTTCCTACAGCGCCAGCCGGGCTCCCTGCTGTCCCCACTCCCTGCCAGTCTTCCCGAGAGTCTCTCCCCCATGGTCACTGCCACTCGAATGACCACTGCAGGATCTGCTTTCAGGGGAGACACCCCCTGCTCCTCGCATCCTGTCCGCGGGTCTCGCCCCTGCTCTGCGGCCTGCTCGCAGTTGTGCTGTCTCCCCTGCACAGCCGCAGAGCAGGGGGGGAGTGGGGCTGAGTCACCACAGCTGCCTCGGAGCCTGGTCTCTGGGTCTGGGCTGCACTGCCTGGCCACGGCAGAGGGCACGGCCCGTGAAGCCCTGCTCCGAGGTCTTCGCGAGCATCATTAGGACAGAAAGAGAGGAGGTGACGCCGTGCCCTCTCAGAACCACAGGGTCTCGTCTCGTCTGAGCTGGGCACAGGGTCTCGTCTCGTCTGAGCTGGGCACGGTGACAGAGCTGTGAGCACAGGGTGTCAGGAAACGGGAATCATGCACGCCGAATGAGGGCCTGGTCAGCAGGCTGTGGTCAGAGTCCCCTCGCCCTCTGATAACTCGGTAATGATGGCAAAGGACCAGCAGTGACACGGGGCCGAGGCAGCTGGATCCCACGTGACCAACTCAGTGAGATCTTCATTTGGATCTCGGGTGGGAGAATATTGGAATACCATGAAAAGAAAATGTACAAGCGTTAAGCTCCTTAAAACCTAAAGAAGGTCAGCACAGCGGCGTGGAGTTTGAGGCGACTGGATTCCGCAGGGCCAGCAGTGGGAGCCCCCGACCTGGCAGCTTAAAAGCACACCAGGTGGGGTGTGCACACCCGGAATCCAGAGAGGACAGTGGGGGAGGGGATTGTGCCGTGGCCATCCCTCATCAAGGGTGCTTTCTCACTTCCCCGCTCTCTGTTTCTGGTAAGCACATGTGCAAATTAGAGAGAGAGAAGAGAAAAAGAAGTAGTAAAAACGACGTAGAGGTCAACACGTTTCTTGCTTCGGTATTTCAGAATGGCACCCACCATTCTCTCTGGAACCCGGGGCTGCGGTGAAGCCTAATGCCACGCCTGTCTTCGCTTGCTGGAATTCCAGAGGCCACAGCGAGGGCTGCTTCTGCCTTTCCCTCTGGCACGTGTACAAAGCGCCCTTGTGGCCCTTATTCTTTCTTAACTTAAGTTGCCCCTCGAGTTTCCATTTCCGGCTGCGTCCTTCACACGGTTTGTTCCTGTCCACATTGCCCTGCTGCTCTTCTTCCGGGGCTCCATAACACACCCACTCCCGTCATGGTCCTGACCCTCGGGTTCCTTTTCTTCTTTGTCTTTTTCTTTTCTTTCTTTCTTCTTTTTTTCTTTTTAAAGGAGTTTGCCATAGGGCACACGCACTCCCCAGAAAGAGAGAAAGAGAGAGAGAGAGAGAGAGAAATCACCCCGTGGGGGCATGGCCATGCCTCAGTCCCTTTTCCTGCAGTCTCCTCCTGGATTTGGAGCACACATGCACACGAGTCCGGGTGATTTTCTAGCCAGCATGTCTGGGACTCCAATGGCCATTAACCATGTGGGAGTCCAACGCCTTAACCACCACGCCACCTACTGCCCCCAGGCTCCCTTCTTGCAGCACGCTCATCCCTCTGAGCAGTGGTTCCTGGGAAGAATGGACTCGGACCCAGTGCCTGGCCTGGGTCCAATCTAGAACTCCGCCTCCAGGGCCTTTGTCCCCTGCGTCCTCGCACCTTTGTACTGGGGCGGGGGGCACGAGCTCAAGAGCAGGCCCTGAGCAATGGCAGGTGTTTCCGCCGGCACCTGCTTCTCTGCAAAAAAAGGCTTACCCGAGAGCCGAGGGAGGCTGGGAGGGGTCCGCACCAGAGTCCAGCAGAAAGCGCTTCTGCGACACGTTCCTCCGGCCGCTCACGGTCAGCACCGGGTAGCCCATCTGCGCTGTCCAGGTGTCCATGACCTCCCTCACTGGCTGGCCGCTCGCCTAGACAGGGACGCCGGCCCAGCCATTAGCACCGGGGGAGGATGGGGTGCACAGCCGCAGAGTGCACCGAGGCGTGTCCTGGGATGAGCCCCCTTACCTCCTCCAGCGCTTCCCAAAAATCTGACGTTTTCGCATTCTTGAACTTGTGTCTTTCCAGGTAAATCTGTGCAAAAGACGACCAGCGTTTCAGAACCCGCCTTCGCTTTGCTTCTCTGCCCGCAGAGCGGGGCCTCTGCTGGGAGCCGCGGAGCCTGCCTTGCGCCCGGAACCCGTGGGCTGCATGTGGCCAGTCAGCTCCTGCCCCAGCCACTCACTCTTCTTCTGACCCCCAACCATGTGAAAACAGTGGGAACCTTTTCGAATTCGTGGACCTTAAAAAATTAGGACGGCAGGTGGGATCTGGCCTGCAGGCCACAGTTGGCCTCTGCTCTGAGGAAGCGAGTTGCAGTCTTCTGACTAGCCATCACGGTGACACGGCGGGAGTGAGTGAACCCAGGAAAGCACCCACTTTAAAGGCTAGGTCTTCGCCCTTCAAAGATTTTGAAAGCATAGATTTTTAAGTTTGAAGTCCCTCCCCGCCGGCAATTCTGTCTACAAATCCTCTCTGTACGCAGGTTTCCGGACTGACTGAGATCCAGCCCAGAGAAACTGTCCAGCCTTCTCTCGATCCTGTAGCTTGGGGGTCTTCAGGAAAGTCTCCGAAGTTGCAATGGCCCCGTTTCTACTGCGGGATCTTCCATACCCGACCTCGCCTAGTGGCTGAGGGCGCGGGATCCCATGGGTGACCACTGTTCTAATCCTGGTGCTGGCAGCTTGCAAACCCCGCCAGGTACATGTGTGTGCGTGTCCCAGACCCCGCCGGGATGGAGCAAGGGTGCAGAGACTGTGGCAGCGCCCCACCGCGGTACCTTCTCCTCCTGCTCCTCTCCCCCTTTCTCTGTCTCTCTGTCTCTCTGTCTGCAGGTGCACACGCTCTCACAGTTAAAGTAAGAAATAGAACTTTCTAGAGTGTGCTTAACGACAACGTTGCACATACTTCACGCCGTCATATCACTGCCAGCAGCTGCTGTACCTGAATCGGTGTCTTTCCCGTCTCTCTGCTTTTTAGGCACAGGGAGAAGCCTGGAGGAGGGTGCGGCCAGCTCGGCCGGGGCCTCCCCGCCAGCTCTTTCCATGAGTGCGCTTCTCGGCACGGCCACCAGAGGGCAGGCCAAGGCCGGGAGCGGGAGCGCGGCTGTCCGCGCAGGTCAGGGCTCCCGCAGAGCAAGGATCCGGGGCTGGTCCCCTGCGTCTGGCAGAAGCAGCTGGAGAGTGCCCTGCACGGTCCAGCCAGAGCTGTGTGCTGTGCCATTCCTACCGAACAGTGCCTTCTTAAAACGAGTGTAGAGAGCACGTTTGCATACTCCAGCGCCTTGCGCTTACAACTGTGCACTCTTGGAACTATTGTAGACGGCCCTTAAATATTAGTTCTCACAACTTCCAGATTTTGGAGGATTTGGAACCCTGGATCAACGTCGGTGGTTCTCATCAACGTTGTTCTTGCCCTTTAAATCGCAATTTCTCGCTTCTCCCAAACAAGGCTGCCTGTAAATTACACACAGCACGTAGAATGGGGCTAATTCCGTCTTGTCTGGGTTAGTGCTTGGGCGTTCTATATTTTCTTGCTCTCTCTCTCTCTTTTTTTTTTTTTTTTGAGGTGTTTGCTATCGAGTGCATGCACTTGCCAGAGAGACAGAGACAGAGAGAGACAGAAAGCAAGAAATCACGCCTTCAGGGGGGATGGCCATGCCACAATCCCTTCTCCTCCATTCTCCTCTCGGGATCTTGGGCACGCACACACACGCGCCTGGCCTGAGTTTAAGCCACCGGGCCTGGGACTTGAACCGTGGTTGACTACATGGGAGTCCAGCGACATAGCCATTATGCCAACTGCTGTTCCCCCTGAACGTTCTATATTAAGCTTCCTTCTTTGCTGTAAATGATCACAATGGAGTCGTTCCAGGCACAACTGCATGCTGACCTGGTAAGCCCTGGTCCCCAGTGGCGGCTCTCAGCCCGCAGGAAAAGGAAGAAATGGTGTCTCTCTCAGAAATGGCCAGAGAAGCCATCTCTGCCCGAGACCCTGCTGCAGGGCCGACCCCTCTCCCAGGTCCACCTCTGGAAGGGTCACGTTCAGCCTGGAGACTCCTTCAGCTGGCCCCCTGGCTTCCTCGGGTCCTGGACCTGTCTGGCCATGGGGCTGGGCTCGGGGAAGGTGGCGAGGTGGTGACAGAGGACAGTCACCTGGCCGTCCCCAGACCCAGCGCCTCACCAGAGCAACGAGCAGTCACCTTAGCAGAGGGTCGTGTTAGCGAGAGAGGGCCGCGAGCCCCTCCCAGAGTGCGTCGGACCGGGCGGCGCGCACACTGGCTGGGAGAGGATGCGGGGCACTGGCCCAGCCCGGTCTGTGCTGACCGTGCCTGCCGTCTGAGCCTCGCTGGTGCGCGAGGTCGGTCGGAAGGAGAAGCGGCCGCTTGGTGCTGACCCATCCCGCGTGCTGTGTGGGGTGTGGGAACCAGTATCCGCCAGTTCCCAGCACCAGCGCAGTCCCGGGGGGAGAGGGACAGCGCTAACTGGGGACCCTTCCTTCCGATGACACCTCATTTGTTTAACCCGACAGACTGGTTAGGAGCCGGCGCTCACTCTTAAGGCCCTCGTCCACATGGCGGTGCTCGGTCTCCGCCCACAGGCCTCCCCACCTGCTCCCACCGCGTTTGGGAGCGTCTCCTGTCGGCTCTGTGTTCTTGCCAGTCACTACGAGCAACTCCCCGTGGGTTCATCTGACGATCGTCTTCCAGATCACCCAGCACGTGTGATGTGCCCTGTGAGGCACTGGGCGGCAGGCGTGGGCACCACGTGGGGCCCCCCAGGTGCTCACGGCGTGGGAGTCAGGCTACGCGAGTCCCTGGGTGCCCCCAGCTCACCAGCAGATCACGTGGCTTCTTGTTTGCACCCCACATCCAAGCAGGGCGTTTCTACTGGTGGACAGGAGGGAAATGTCCCGATGTCCTCCATTACTCTAGAGCCAGGCCTTCTAGAACTTCCCCTCTGAGTGGAAGGGCACCTTTTCCTTTCAGAGTACTACGGAGGGGCCAGATGCCCCACGTAAGGACACAGTGGACGTGAGAGAAACAGGTGTGGGGAGCCACGTCCCACACAGGCGCTGGCCCCGTGGGAGCTGGACCCGGGGGAGCTGGTAGGGTGCTCCTGGGCCCTGTGGGAGCTGGCCCTGTCAGAGCTTATTAAAAAAATCCCTGCAGGGCCAGCAGGTGGCATCCTGGTTAAGGCACTGGATTCCCCCATGGCCAACTGGGGTTCAAGTCCTGGACCCGGTGGCTTGCTTTCCTGCTTTCCCTCTCTCCCTTCTGTCTGTCTGGTGAGCACACAGGCACTATTTCAAATTAATAAATAATAATCACAACGAATGAAATTAAATAAATAAGTCTTCTACACAACCTGTTCACTCTGCCCTGTGAGCCATCTGCTGAGTGGTGACCACAGAGCAGCAGGGCCACGTACCAGGCCCCTCTTCCTGCTGCCGGTCTGTACTCTGGGATGAGGAGGCAGAAAGGCGTTACCACTGTCTTGGCACTCGCCCGCGCGTATGTGGGGCAGTGAGTCCTACCTGGCAGCCCATCTGAAACTTCTCCGGCGTTATCCAGTCTTCAAGCATTCTCAGAATAGATGCTCCCTGTGACGGGAAAGACAGACTGGGTCACAGAGGGCGCGCGGGCACAGTCGGCCACCGCTCCGCGCCTGCCGCTGCACCCCCTGCCCAGGGGCG